CACCTATAGTAATAGACATCGCTTTTTCCGGCGGAAAGCCCAGATTTCCTGGTCACTTCTTCCCTTTTCCATCCCTCCGGGAGGGCTGAGCACTCCCACCTCTTCCGATCCATGGCTTCCAGGAGAGCCGGCTCCGGATCGGGCTCGGGCCAGCTGGTGCCGCCGCCGCCACCCCCGCCGCCGCCACGGGCCGTCACCACAGCCGGCCGGCCGGCTCCGAGCTCCCTCCCAGCCAGGGTGGCGGCGGACCAGGGAGCGGGCTTCCTCGGGCAAAGGCTGGAAAGGACCAGCGGGCTCGATCGGGACTGCTAGGGCGACCGCCGGCGGCGCGCAGGTCGCCAGTCCGCTTTGCAAAAAATAAAAAAATTAAAAAGGCGAGCCAGCCGCCGGGCTGTTCCAGGGCTCCTCCGCAGCGCCCCCCTCGGCTGTGCGGGGAACGTTCCAAAGCCGGCTGTTCCTCCCAGCGCACGGCCGACCCGCGCCCCCCTCCGCTGTTTATATACATATGCATCTCCGTTTTAACCGCGGAGTCTTTTCCTCCTCCCACCCGCAAGAGGGCGCTGTGGCGTCACCTCCTGATGTCACAAGCCTAGTCGGCGCGTTCCCCTCCCGCCGCCGCCGCCCTAGTCATTCATTCTGTGCCATGCCATTTCCCCGCCTCCTCCCGCGGCGCGCAGGCGCACTTCACCACCACCACCACCTCCTCCTCCCATCGGCGACCGTTGGGCTTAAATGGAGGAAAAGGAGAAGGGGGGAACACTCACTGTCCCCTCAGATCCCGCCAATTTGAAAGCCACGGAGCATGCGTAGAAACACAACCCCCCCATCCTTCCACCCAAGTAGGAGTAAAATAGTACCTCCCCGCCATAAACGCGTTCCGCTGAGGGAAAAACGAGTCCCGTCTCCCCCGAGACACGTGAACGCGTCGCCCGCCTCCGTGCGCCTTTCAAACCAAGCCGCCCGCTTTGGACACGTGAACTCGTCCTCGTGAAGTACCCCCGGTTCACAGACACGTGTACGAGGCCCAAGGTTTGAAAGCGACCACTTAATAAGAGTCCCAAACTCGACGCGGTTCACGTGCTTTTAAATAGACCCTTTCCTGCCACGCATGCACACTGAACACGGGAAGCTGTACGTGTGAATGCACACAAAACGCCCCACGAACGTCAAAGGGGGGTTGCCACACATGAGCCACAGAAAATGCACCCCCTTAGTTTCAAAGGGAGTGGTTTCACCCCCTTGTCAACGATTTGCCCCTCAATATTTCTACTCCCCTCAGTTTGGAGTGGTTCAAGACCTCCCCCTTCGCTTGCCTAGCCCATCATTCAGCCTTTATGCGGATGCTGGGTGTTGGAACTCCATCTCTGGCAGCACTGGGGATGCTGGGCGCTGTGGTCCACCAAGGTGGTGCCCCCAGGGCCAGACTTAAGGATGCTGGGCCATGTAGTCCAGAGAGGGGGGAACCCATTCCCAACAAACGGTGAAGAAAACTTCCAGCCAGCCCAGGGGATGCTGGGCTTTGTTGGCAACCCAACTTGGCAGTAAAGGTGGCGTTGCGGTCTCAAAAAGGGGATTCCCCCCTCCATTCCGTCTGAGGATGCTGGGCGTTGTAGTCCCCAAAGTAGCCCTTTCCAGCCCGTATTGGGGATGCTGGTTATTGTACTCCCACCCGCACCCCAATGAATATTTTCCAAGCTTTGCTTTCTCACCCCCAAACCCCATAACTTTACTTTCAAAAGCCCCCCATTTGCACCTCCTGAACCCCCCGCTGACCCCACAGATCTGGAGGCACCCCACAAACGCCTCCTGGATTTGCCTCAACCCCCCCAACAAAATCCCAACCCTAAAACCCTTTTAAAACGGATCTTAAAAACAGCCTTTCCACCCCACTGCCCCCCCCAAACTAGCCCCATAAAAGCCAGCCTTCTCCCCCCCAACTCCCCCGTCTGTTCCTCCCCATGACCCCCATCTGGGGTTTAGCCCCCATCCCCACCACAAAGCTGCCCCAAAGGTAACCACATCCAACCCAGAGCTTCTCCCTCTTCCCGTTTTTTCTCCCATCCCACTGTCAGGATGTTTTTGAGGGGTCTCTCTAACCTCCGACCTCCCGTTCGTCCTCCACTCCCTCAGTGGTCCCTACATTTGGTTCTG